TCATGTTTAAGGCCATGAGGCTGGACGGTCGCGTGCTTCGACCACCTCCAGGGGTGGGCATGTGTTTAAAAATTTAAAACCCGTCGTGTTCAAGGCCACGAGGTCGGACGGTCGTATGTCTCGACCACCTCCAGGGGTGGGCATGTGTTTAAAAATTTAAAACCCGTCATGATTAAGGCCATAAGGCTGGACGGTTGCATGCTTTGACCACCTCCAGGGGTGGGCATGTGTTTAAAAATTTAAAACCCGTCATGTTTAAGGCCATGAGGCTGGACGGTCGCATGCTTCGACCACCTCCAGGGGTGGGCATGTGTTTAAAAATTTAAAACACGTCGTGTTCAAGGCCACGAGGTCGGACGGTCGTATGTCTCGACCGCCCCCAAGGGTGGGCAAGTGTATACGTGTGTACGATAAGATTAAGCTATCTAAGTGGTCGCAAGGTGCCATAATGAAGATATCAAGTAAGAATCACCAATAAGCATTATTGAAGATCAAAACAAGTTAAAAACAAAACATTTCTATTTCGAGATCATTACAAAACCCGTTAAAGTACATTGTTTGAATTCAAGAAAGATAAAGTGAAAAATACAACGCTAAGATGGAGGAGCAGCGACGGAGTCAGTGTTGCTCGAGCTGGCATTAGGATCGGGATGCTGATTGGTTCCAGAGGTCGAGTCGCAGGCTTCATTAAGTGGGCGTCGTTTGATAGACTCAACCGTTGCGATCAACATAGAAGTCGGAGGAATAACGCCATCGGGCAAAGCGAATGTTTTCTTTAGCACATCCGATCGAGACAAGGTTCTCTCGAGTTGCCCTGACCACCATTCATGCTCGAGTGGCAGGGAAGGGTCACCGCAGAAGCTCGAGGGCACTTTGGGCAAAGCATCCCAAATAGCCACGGGGTCGAGCTGCTCGAAATCGTCCTCAGCGATCTACTCCCCGGCCTTTTGTAGGGCAAACTGAAAGCAGTCCACCCCGAAATCTTGCAACTCCTTCAGATACTGCGGCGACTGCATGAAGTCAGCCACCACTTGTGCGCGATGCTCACGGAGGAAGAGCTGCCCCGTTGTGGTCGCCCAGAGCATCTGCCTTGCTCGAAGAGCAGTGGAATTTTCATAGTGTTGCTTCTCGTCGGCATAGGCAGCCCTCTCTTTGTCCACAAGGGCCTCCAGATCTGCCCGAGCCTTATCTGCTTCAGCTCGAGCCTTCTCTGCCTCCGCTCGAGCATGTTCCGCCTCAGCACGAGCCTTTTCTGCTCCAGCTCGAGCAATCTGTTCTTGCTCCAGTAGAGCCTCCCTTTCTTTCAGGGCGGCCTCTTTTTCCACCACTGCGGCTTCCTTGGCCGCGAGAGTAGCATCTCTCTCAGCAAGAGCCTTTCCTTTATTACTGAGCTCTTCGTCAAGAGATCTAATCTTGACGTCGAACTCAGTCTTCTGTTCTGTTTGTATCTCGCGGAGTTTGGCATTATGCTGCAGGAGGGTCGAATTTTTATCCTGCAGATAG